GACTTTCTAGTAAACACAAATTTCCCTTAAAAATAATCTAATTATTATTATTACTATCACTATTCTGGCAGTGTTTTTTTTTTTTCTTTAAATTTTTTTTGGTTTGCTTTCTGTTGTCCAGTTTTGTCGGCATAGGGCTTCCCCTATGTTTCCTTTTCTCTCTTTTCCCAGCTCTCCTTGCATTTCCCCTTTTATTTGATCATAGGATAGTCCTACAGGGTACCAAATATTTGGAGATCTCTAGACTTATTTCTAACTACAGATTCAACTACAATTATGTGCCTCCAGCAGCATTCAAATCCAGAAGCATTTTCCTCTCAGTAGAATTTGTTATTTTCCCCTTTGATGAAAACTATTCCAATAGAGCAGAAGCTGTGTCCCCTACAAATAAATAAAGTTGACTTAGGTTTTTTTTTTTTTTTTAATTATTTGAACTTGCTATGACTTTAAAGGTGAGTCTAGGAAAAATGATGACCTAGATGACTGATATTCTTCCTTAGTAGCTTTAAAGTAATACTCACTGTCTTTAACAGTTCAAAAAAAATTATGGCTTAGCTTGTTTTTAACAGTTCAAAACATTATGGCTTCAAATTTGGCTTCTTAGAGAGTTACTGGATTAACAGGAATAACATTAATATACTAAATTATACAAAATGGCTCAGTGGGATTACATAACCCTAATAAATTCATGGTTCATAAAAGGAATCAGTTTTGATTCTGCAAAAATAATGCAAAACCAAGCATGGATGACAGGGCATCAGAAGGAAGAAAAATGAATGGTCAGTCTGAAGTTTCTCAAGAGTTAGTCACATTATATTTTTTACACATATATATCAAACATACTTATTAAAATTTTTCCAATGCTTACCTTTCTCTATGTGGCAGTCACTAGTACAGCTAACTGATGATATCGTATTATCAGCATGTACCTCGTAGGCTATGACATGAGAGGTTAGCAAGCCCTGCTATGGGATGTAGAGTATGAAGGCACACTCTAATAATAGCTTATGCCATTCATAATTAAGCTTTCATTTAATGATGGCTTAGTTTGGAAATTCAGAACCACCTGCATCCAAACGATGCCCAAGCTTATGACCAGCCATATCAGCAGATTTCTGGGGCTCACGTGCAACATGCCACTAAGGCTGGAAGACACTCTGTCCTTTTAATGGACATAGGTTATTTTCAGAGTAACACAGTTTGTTTTCAAATTGAGCAGGATTGATGGGGCACATGCTAATCATACAAGAATTCAAATAGAATTTAACAATGTTCTCCCTAAGATCGACGAACCTCTTCTGAAATTGTGACAATGTCTACCCAAGAGTATAGTAGTTTTTCAAAATTAATGCTTCCAGTTAGCTCCAAGGATTCTGCTTGGGGAGAAGCTAAGTGACAGCCCGATTCAGTCTGAAACTCCAATTTGTACCTCAATGTCTGATTCTCCCTACACAAGCCAGCAATGCCCTTGTATCTTCTCTGCAGTCTCTAATGCCTTGTGTTCCGACACCTTGTTGTCTTAACAAAACCCCAACTCTGAAACCAATTTGGGTTTTCCTAAGGTCAGCAAATCTCCTCACCGATGACTTAACCACTGACTACACTGAAATAAATAAATTGCCACACACTGCTGTGGTGTCCTCCAAATTCCTCATTAACCAGCTTTACTAAACAGTCTGACTTCTACGGGGAATTCATAATTAGGAAGTTTCTGCATCCTGTGACTCAATGAGAATGAACAATAGATAAATATCAATGAACGGAGGTCAAATTTCAATTCAAATAATATATAACAATGATCATAAGATCAGGATAAAGGGGTGTTATAACCTATCCACAATGTAGAATGAATTTCAGGGTCTTTTTGGTACCCAAGAAAATTATAATAATTATTTAAAATAAATGTAATCTGAAATGTGGGGAGGGGAGTCCTAGACTACACAGAATTGTATGATAAATTTCAAAAATAAAAATTAAAAAATGTATTCTGAAATGTCCTCAATTTAAAGTATTTTAAATTCTGTAATGAGCTAGTTCATTATCTTCCTGAATATATTTCTTCACTCTATTTTTCCCACTATCTTGCATCTATGTAGGTACCTAACTAGTACTTGCCAATGGAGACTGGGCTAAAGTTGTAGAGCCCATTTCCAACCCTGACCCTGCAAGACTCTCCATGTTCTTTTTCATTTGCTGGCTCAGTGGAAAGGATGCAGTTCAAGATTTCATGACACTGAGAGATAGCAGACACACAATGGAAGGGACCCAGGTCTCTGAATGGCTTGTGTGGCGAAGAGATCTCTGTTACCTATCTGTGCTGGACCATGACATGAGAAGGAAGTTAGCATCTCTCTCTCTTTTTCTCTCTCTCTCCTCCTCCCTCTCCAGTAAATAAAAAAGGTCTAATTGTGGAGACCAGTATCATAGCATAGCAGGTTCAGCCTCCACCTGTGGTGCCAGCATCCCACATGGGAGCTGCTTTGAATCCAGGCTGCTCCACTTTCTATCCAGCTACTTACTAATGGCGTGGGAGACAGTAGAGGATGGCCCAAAACCTTGCTCCCCTGTACCCACATGGGAGACCTTGAAGAATCTCCAGGTTCCCAGCTTTGGACCAGCCCAGTTCTGGTCAATGTGGCCATATGTAGAGTGAACCAGTGGAGGGAAGATCTCTCTATTTTTTCCCTAACTGCCCCCTCACTATAACTCTTTCAATTAAAAAAAGATCCACAACCCCCTTTTTAAAAAAAGCCAAACTATAAACACCTAGTAATTACTTTGATTTGACCAATGTTATGAAATTTGGGAGATGCTGTCAAACAATAAACAGGTCTCTTCACTTTAGGATATCCCAGAGCTGTCAATATTTTAATATACACTGTGAACCTGTATAAAAGGTCCAAAGAACACAGTATTTCCTAAACTTAGTCAATAAATAGCCAATAAATTTAAAATCTACTTCTCGTTTCTACCACAGCATCCTTCTCATGCTTACACACATTTTAATATATTAGAGCAAGGTTCCAATAGGGTATGTTCTGGGAAATTTTGCTTTAGTGTAACTTGTAACATAAGGTGGATTCATCCATTAGCACTAAACAAGTTTAGGCACCCCAAAGCAAACAATTCTGTTATTAAGGGAAGGTTTATCTATCTATCTATTTTTGAAAAAGGCCAACATGTATTAATAGTATCAGAACCGCACAGTAAGTTTTCATTGCTGAAGTGTACCCAGCTCTGTAAGAACAGTCCAGGACGTTGGACTTTCCACCATTGTCTATACCCTACAATGTCATGATACACGTAAATAGCAGAATGATGGGCTGGTGGCTGTTGCAGAAAAGCTTATACTATTTTAATAATAAAAACAGTAGGAGATGGGGATTTGGGGAGGGTGGAAGGGGAAATTCTTAAGCCTCTGGAACTGTATCATAAAAAAAAATTTAAAAAAGAACATTATTTTACTTAAAATATGGCTTCAATGAAGGCAAACATAAATGAGAAATTTCTGTTCTGTTTTTGTATTCCAATTTGCAAGCAACACAGCCTGTTGTATTCAATGGTGGAATATACTTTTTTCTTTTTTAAAATTAATTTTATTTTTTAATAATGATTATATAGTAGATCATGGTGGGAAGGGTCAAGGTTTGGGAAAATTGAGTGTACTCATTGCTTTTGAATTTGCTATTTCTTCTTGTTGTTTCCGGGGGAAGGGGAGAAACAAAGGGGAAACCACTCATATGACTTTCCACACGTCCCAGTACCCAGGGATGAGGAACTGCCACCTCATATCAACCCAGAGTCTCAATGTGTACATATTCTGAGGGTTCTGTCCACGTGGTTTGGATAGTACTGAAATGCTGCCAATTTCACCGATCCGAGGATGATGTCACTCTCCCAATGTCCATTGCTCCATTCACCAAGATTTTTTGTTGTCATCGTTTGTTTGGGGTAGTTTTAGGGAGATATTGAATCTATGAAAACTTGGTAATGTCAAGTATGAAATACATGTAAATATAGTCTATGGCCTAACATCTCATTTCTCTCTTCTTGAACTCACACTTCAGGCATAATACTTAAAGATAACATTTAAAGCAATAAAAACTGGCTGTTGCTATCTATGGGACCTGTTGCTATTTGTAGATTCAATCACCCGTGGATTCAAAATACTTGAAAAAAAATTGTGTTTGTATGGAACATGCACAGATGTTTTTCTTGTCATTATTCCTTACATAATACAGCACAACTATTTACACAGCAATTACACTGTCTTAGGGATTTAAGTGATCTAGGGATGTGTTAAAAACACAGGAAAGGACATGCCTAGGTTCGATGCAAATACTATGCCACTTGATAAAAGGGACTTGAGTATCCACGGATTCTAGGGGTACTGGAACCACCTCCAGCAGGCATGCATGGCTCTAATCACCACAAAGATCAATGGATTTATCCAACAGAAATAAAGATACTTCAATAAGTTAGGGTTGTACTCTACTCTTTCTAAAAACTCACTACTTGCATATGTATGTATATATATGCTCTCCCTGCCCCATGGTTGGTTAGGTTATACTGTGTTTGTACTATACATACACCTTCTTTTTTGTAGCTTGCACCTTTAAGGATCTTTTTCAAATATGCTTTTTAAGTTTATCAATGTAAAGAGCAGATTTCATGAGTTCCACAGATATGATGCCAAGAATATGATACTTTCCTTCCTCCTTCCTTTTTTCCTTTTTATTCTTTTCAATTATTTTCTTGGTGATATCATATTTTCAGTTTACTTTGTAATCACAGGATCTGTACTCCTCTAAACAAAGAACTCCACAAGTATTTGAATCACAAATCTATGAATGGCTGATCTCCCATATACCTCACAAAGTTAAAGCAACTGTAAAAAAAGAGTTATGATAGACATCTGGGAATTCAGTTAAAGTAAAAAGGTAAAATATATTCTATTTATATATATATATATAAAAAGAAGGTGGAAAAGACAGACTTACATCTAGTAGTGTGTGAAGATGCTGATCCTGGAAAACACTGTGTAGAAAATCTAGGTCCTTTTCACTGCAGTCTGTGAGTGCGTGAATCTCTTCCAGGCTGTCCAGCACCTGTGAGACTGCTCCTAAGTGGGGAACAAACAGAAAACAGCCAGGGCAGAAAGTCAGTGTCAAACTAACCTTTGTCACTAAAATATTAACGCTTAAGAGCAATGAACCGCCATCAGAACTTGAAAGGCTAATCTCTTCAATGAAGGGTAAACTTCACTGAGTTTCATATCATGTAGGGACAGAACATTTTCAGAGAATTTAGGTTTGTAACAGTACATTTGTGTGTTGTTTATTAAAAAAAAACACTGAAGTTTGTATTGTTTGAATGAAGAAACTGAGCTCCTAGATGATCTGGGTGCTGCAAATTACATAGCAGGAAGAGAATATGGGATTCAGAACCCCAAAATGGATTTGAAACATTACACAAACAACATAATGGATTTTTTTTAACCGAATTGCATTCCCTCTAGCACTGGACAGCCAACTGTAGAACTGGGGACAAACCTTCAATTGGGAGCTCCTGCTTTTTGAGAAATTGGTTTAGAATTTTGAAGGTTCAACCTTTGGTTAACAGACATCTCAGTCCATTCCTCTATTTCTTTACATAGAAAGAGAATACAAGTTCTTCTCATTCTGTAAGGCCCATCTTATTTGGAAGACAAAGGCAAACAGAGTAGGCATGCTGAATAATACTTCCAAATTCCATGCTAAATTTAAAGGCTAGTCATTTTTGCAGTATATCACATATGAAAGTGTTGTCTTTTTGCTTAATTTTTTCCCTCTAACTAGGAATCCTAGTAGTTACCAGCAGGGAAAGATACGTGGAGAGCAGCAACAGAATCATTCCATATAGCTTTCAAGAAATGATCAGTCTAATTTACCCCCATAGAAAAGGCACTTATATGTACTCCACAAAAAGAGTCACAAGATGCTGGGCTATGGGACATACATGCATCCACCAGAGAAACTGAGAGTGAAGGGTCCCACTGTACATGTAAATTTTTGGATCAGTGAATCTCAACCAGAGGCAATTCTGCTCCCCAAAGGAACATTTCTTAATGTCTGGAGATATTTTTGTGTGTCACAACAGTAGCAGGAGGGTGACTATTGGCATCCAGTGAGTGGAGAACAAGGATGTTGCCGAGCATCCTACAATGCCCAGGATTGCATCCTTATAAAAAAATTATCCATTAAGGAACTCTATTTATAAAATCAACCTGAAGGAAAAATAGGGGAAGAAGATTCAGATGAGATTATTTATCATAAAAATGGAAAATAAATGCAATAATTAAGATTTCAAAAATTGTAAGATATCTATGTAAGATTAAATAACCAAATGTTCAACTGTTTGTGAAGAATTTTAAAAACATAAGGAATTCTTTATGATGTAAAATTTAAGAACACAGAATGCAAAACAATATGAGCTTTTATTCTTCTTGCTACATATACAAACACTCAAGAAAAACAGTATAAAATATACTAAAAAAGGAAACAGTAGTTATCATTATTTTCCAATTTGCACTTCATTCTGCTTTTGTCTATATGTTCCAAGTTTTTTTTTTTTTACAATATCCCCCCACCCCTACAAAGGTAAAGAAAAGAAAAGCTATACAAGCTACCAACTTTTTCATCTCTGTTTAATTATGTTAAAGATTTGGAGCTTGAACTACAAGTCATATGGCTATCCATGTAGAAACTGCTGTGATTACTTTAAAAAATTCCTTTGGGACCAGCACAATGGCTCAAATGGCCAATTCTCAGCCTGCAGTGCTTGCATTTCATATGGGTCATATGGGGTCTTGCCTGCTCTATTTCCAGCTCCTTGCCTGTGGAATGGGAAAGCAGTGGAGGATAACCCAAAGCCCTGGGACCCTTTCTCTCTGTCTCACCTTCTCTCTGTAAAGCTGCCTTCCCAACAAAAACTAAACAAATCTTTTAAAAAAAACTTATGATTTATTTATTTTGAAACAATTACAGATTTACATGCAGTTATTAAAAAACCCACAATGATTTCATGTACCTTTTATCCAGTTTCCTTCAACAATCTTGCCAAATTGTAGTACAATATTCCAATCAGGATACTGATGTTGACACAGTTGAGCCATAGAATATCGCATTAGCACAAGGATTCCCCATGCACATGCTATTGCCCCTTTTGTAGCCATGCATTTCCTTCTCACCTTCCTCCCATCAGTTGGCCTGTGAACTCCCTAAGGTGTACCACCAGACACTTCCTGGGTCACTTACTGTGTACTGTGTATACTTTTTGTTAAAGCTATAAGGTCCTTATGGCAAGTTCATACTTACAATATGAAAAAAGTGTACACTGAATTCCTAAGTACTTAAAAGAGCCCTCAACAAGAGTTAAGTGTGCTTTCTGCATGAATTTGAAGATGAGGAAAGCACTTGAGCACTTTGACCCTCTTGGGTCAAACAATAACTAAAATATTTATCAAATTTCCCTGTTTTCTTGGCCAGGTGCTGGGGAGGGGCTTCAGAGAAAACAGATGGGAATTCCCGGCTTCAAGGAAGGGGCTCTCCGGCTGGTGTGTCTAGCAGGCATATGACACCCTGAAGTAAATGACAGGGAAAAGTAGTGACATGTAAGCATGCTGCCAAGAGAGGAGCTGGGAGACTGCAGAGAGGGGCTGGGCAGACAAGATTTCACCACCTCCACATAGTTAGGAACCTGTGCTGCTAGTTCGAGTGGAGGCACAAAGGCATCTGTCCACTAGTACTTTCAGCAAGCAACACCCACAGTCTCAACAGGTTCAGCCCTGGCTGCTGCGACTACTTGGGGAGTGAATCAGCGGATGGAAGATCTTTTTCTCTGTCCCTCCTCCTCTCTATCAATTTGCCTTTCCAATGAAAATAAATCAATCTTTAATAAAGGAAAAAAAAACCCCACCAAAACCTCCCTCTGGATAAACTTTTCACTACCACAAAAGAAGTCAATCAACAAACAGGCCATGAGGTCACCTCAGAAGTTATGCCACACAATGGCTAGACTGTAGGCATTCTATTCATTTCTATATTTTGGGCAGCATTTTGCAGAGTATTGTGTTGAAAGAGACACTTGTTTAATTTTTTTTTCCTGAGAGGTTCTGCAGAATGATCAGATTGAAAGATTTAGCCAGAAAATAATTGCTTTCATTTTATAGCATAAGATTTCCTTAAAGTCCTAATGAGAATCAACTTCATGCTCATATCTGTATAGCAGTTTATAATCTCCATAATATTTTTATTTTCACTACCTTATGTGACCTTACAATAATCCTGTCCAGCAGGCAAATATTTTTATATCTGACAAACTGGAAAACCAGTATGGTTAAACTGATCTGTCCAAGAGACACAGGCGGTGAGCAGGAGCGTGAATCTTGGGCCTTGGGTCTGACTTCTAGTCCAGAACTCCTACCACATATGGGATTCCTTGAAACATGTTTTACCCTCAGTAAAAGCCCTGGAATAAGTTGCAATTGGTAATGAGTGGATGGCCAATTTCTACTTTCTCTTTCATTTAAATTTCACTGACCTAAAAGGTGAAATCTAGCTCTTAGCTGCAACTTGCACACTGTACTAGAAGCACTCATGGTCTGACTCGCGCAGTAATCAAGGTGGCATCTCAAAATCAGGCTGATAATCATACCTTTTCACTTTGAATACTTCTACTTTTTCATAGAATCTCACTGATATAAGCAGGGTTTGTTTTTTTGTTACGAAATGAGTCAAAAAAGTATAAATGTCAACTGCTTTAAAGTGTTTGCCAAGTCTACTTCTTTCAAGAGAAATATGCTTTAAAGGCCAAGAAAAGCTTTGGGTTTAGAACAATTTCATTACAAGAATGGAAAAAGTCTCATAAAAAAGTTGACTTAGTAAAAATATCCCAAAAGGAGGACAGAAAAAATAAACAGTAAAATGTTTAAGCTAAAAAGTTCTTAGTGTTAAAGGACACCGGATGTCTTAAATTTTTGCCTCTACATTTTACTACGAAAATTTTCAAAACCCTAGCAAGTTTGAAACAAATTACAAATCTACTGCCATGATCAGTTTGCTGTAGTTGGGTTATCATACATTTATCTGTCTATCCTTTCATTCATCAACTTAACGGGTTTTCATTTGTTCCCAGTTGATGACAGAGCAGCTAACATCAGTGCATTTCACCCCTGCACACTTCAGAAAGGATTTTAATATTTCTTTCTCCGTCTGGGGTAAAATTTTTGAAGAAAGAAAAAAACTGTTATATGTATTACTGGATAATTTTGATAAAACCATAACTTTTCTGCAGTTATTTCAAAAAAGATTTATCTGTATGTATTTCTTAACTTATATGGTGAACAATGAAAACCCTTATTACTGAGCAAATGCAGCATCTGAATCTAGTCTAGCTTCTCGTGGAAAGCAATCAACAACCTCTCTTTTATATCGTATTAATGATGCATCAACACAGCCCTACATTCCTATTTATATATATATTGTTATCGTCTACTCAATCAAAGCCTGTTCTTGAAAGCAGGATGCTTAAAAAATAATTTGCTTTTAAGTTACAATTCACAAATTTCACTGCATTTTGCCATTACTCCCCCCCCCACCCAAAAGTTATCTTCCCCCTTCAGCTTCCCTATCTCCTGTTCAACAGTTTTTATTCCCACTGAACAAAGAAAATTCTGGTTATCAATCAACTTATAAGCAATAACGGATTCTGTAATGCAAACTGTATTTTGGATTCAAGCATTTGTGCTATATCCAATTCAAAACTTACATAAAAACTTATATACAGGGATGAATATTCTACATTCTTCATGTATGGAATTACAGTACAGACCTCTCATATCTTACAGGTTAAAGGAAGCAAACTCTGCAGAATTACAGATTCTATGATTCTGCTATTATTTTTATTAATACAGTCTGTCTCCAGGGATAGGTGTTGTGGTGCAACACGTTAGGCTGGCACATGGGATACCATAGCCCATCTTGATGTAGCTGGTTTGAGCCCTGGCTACTCCTTATTTCCAATCCAGCTTCCTGCTAATGCACCTGGGACGCAGCAGACGATGACCAAAGCATTTGAGTTCTTGCCACTCAAATGGGAAAACTGGATGGAGTTCTTGATTGCTGCATTAGGCCTGGTCCAGTTCCAGCTGTTATGGGCATATGGGGAGTGAAGAGCCATTACAAAAGATTTTTCTTTCTCTGTCTACCTTTAAACAAGCAAATAAATCTTAAAGAAAAAGAAACAGTCTGTCTCCAAACAGCATAAATGTTCGGAGCATAATGTTCTGCTGGTTATTAGGTGCCCACTTTTATAACCAAGGCAAGCACTAGTAATACTTCTAATGTGGTCATTCGCAAATGATATGACAGGTCTGCTGATTTGAAAAAGGGGGCGGGGATGAGGGAGGGAGAGAGAGTGAGCGAGAGAGAAAACAAGAGTGAGAAAGAGTTAAATATAGATGAAAAGAGCTTCAAAATTTGAGTAGTTCTGTACAATGGTGGGCAGCCTCTAAGATGAACCCTCCCCATGTTTCCTGTCCCCTAGTTTTTGCATCATTGTATAATCAATTGCTTCCCCATAGAATGTGAACCGAACCTAATGACTCATTTCTGATTCTCAGAAGAGGGTACGGGGGACTGAGTCTTTATTGGCCAGTGTCCCACTTTTGCCCTTTTTGGTCACTTCTGCTGGGCACGCATGCTGCCGTATTGGGAAGAGCTCTCTGCAGAGCCCTGCAAACGATGTGAGTGAGCTGCCAGGAGGATCACCCTGCAGAGATCCTGGGTCAGGCACCCAGATGAGCTACAACTCTCCTGACCCATAGATACTGTGGCTTGACAAACACTGCTGATGGCAATTTATCACAAAGCAACAGTAACCAGTATCCTGCAAGATTCTGGTATTAAGTTATCTGCGGTTTTAGATATAAGCAACTAATGCTAAAAATATGACAATGAATTCAATCATTAGCATTCAGATTTTCTTATTATCTCTGAATCTTCTTGTATACTTTTCTTGCAGTAAATATAGCATGAACCTAAAAAGCTTTCCTGATTATTGAGATTTTTATGGAGATAATTATAGATTCACATGCATTTGTTAAAAGTAATATAGAGGGATCCCTTGTACAGTGTGTTTTACTCAGGTTCTCCATTGGTAATGCTTCACAGACCTGTAATATACTGAATTATCATAACCAGAATGCTCATACAATTCACCCATCTCATGCTGACTGCCTTGATTTTACATGTATTCCATTGTGTGCGTTACGTATTTTTTACATTTTAATGCTTCCACATATTCAAGTTACACTCCTCTGTAACTAAAATCTTGCCATTATGCTATTCCTTTATAAACCTTTCTGATGGCAAAGTTGTTAAGACACATCACTTCAGAGCTCCAGATTAATAAACTGAAAATGGACTCAGTAACAGTGGAAAATAAAAATCAATTAAGTCTACGTAATTGTCAAAGGAAAATTCACTTACCCTGACAGTTTTCTTGAAAGGAAACTATAAAACAAAATGTTACCCTTTTCCAAGAATTAAAATATTCGTGTTTGAAACTCATTTGTGAGATAATCAATATTAAATATAGTTAAAATTTTAACACTGCCTCTTTTTCCTCTGATGAAAGTTAAGAAGTTAATACTATTTGTGTAACTGTGCTTAAGGAAATCAATATATCCAACTTTTTATTTTACAATCAGGCAGTGTTAAAATTCATACTTCATATCTAAACACAAACAGCGAAGGAAGAAGTCAAGCTAATTATGAACCATGCAAAGCCAAACACTTTTGCATAAAAGATAAACCTGAGAGGAAAACAAAGGGATACCTACTTTCTGCTGCTAGAAGTCCTAGGAGGAAGGCAGCATATGGACAAACAACAAACAGTATGAATTTAGAGCAAGCAGGTTATCAAGCAATGCTTGGACCCACAGGAAGCTTGAGCCCCCAGCTGGCCCCAAAGAATCTTTGTGTCCCACGAGTATGAGCACTGGGACTGCTCACGATCTGACAACAAACACTGGGTTCTGATTCCGATTGTTTTGAATTGAAAAAAGGCAACAGAAAATTTGCATACTGTAATATTAACTAACAAAGCAACAATATACTGTTGATCCTGAGATTAAATTCAATGAATCTGTACATGCATGACAGATTGAATTCCAATAATTAAACCCAAAAGTAGCCTTAAAAGAAAAATTGTCTCACACTGTAAATAATGAAAATAAACATACTTTCCTTTGCTTTAGATGACAAATTAGGAAGCTGATGAGTTTTAAAATTATCATTGTAAATATTGAAATTTTCTAGATGTACATATTACTTTCAAATTAAATTCCTTTAATTAAATAAGATAAGGCTTAATTTATAGAAATAATAGTCTGCATTTTATGAGCAGGCAACTTTATCACTTTTCTTCAGACTCTGGGATTTCAGAAATCCACAAAATGCTAAGATTTTTGTTTGGAGCCAAATTAGGACTACCAAATTTGATTTTTGCCAATAAAAGGCATTAAAAAACTCAACCTTCCTATCATTATCATTTCACATGAAGAACAGAAAAGGTATTAGGCAAAGAAGGAAAACAGTGCATCTTAAGGGCAGCTGGTTGACCTCATGCTGTGTGTTCATTCTCTTTTGTCCTTTCCTTCCCCATTCCCCGCAATCCCACCTTGTAAACAAGCACATGTTCTATTATTTTGGTCTTTTTGTCATTGGCTTGGACAACCTTTCAGGCAATGATGAAAAGTGCTTGGTGTTCTGTGTTGTGAAACAAACTCACACAAATTTAAACAGAAAGACACTGGAAGGAGTAACTTGGCGAATATAAATGACACAGAACTTTAGCACTGGTACAAAACAGAGAAGAATTTAGGGTTGAAAATCATGAAATCATGAAAACATGAAAATGAAATGAAAACATACATGCTTTAATTTAGGAAAGCATAAAGCTATATATGATTCCAGATAAAACATACTACCAGTTTTCTGCAACAAATCATACGAGCATAATTTTTAGTTGAGGAAAATCAATAATTGCTGGCAACAGCTTTTGATAATTAGGACTAACCATAGTAGTAGAATGCTTCCTTTTAAGTGGTTTTGGTAATAGAAATTACTTTTAGGAATACGTGAATAATTATTCCTGATGGCTATGTGAAATTAGAAAAATATAAGGAATCTCCTCAAAGTATTACTTTTCATGTAGTGTAGGTAATTAGTATTTGGTATGTACATACTATTTTATCTTTTAGTTTGTGGTATACTTTAATATCATCTAAAGATGCTTATGACAGACACTTAGCATGCCAAATGAAGATAGGAACTATTAGAAGATCCAGAAATTTAAAAAGAAGTGGGGTGTCAATGCAAAAAAGGAAAGGGAAGAAGAAATATCTAATTATAAACTACTAATTTTAATGCTTACAGGCTACCTGGAAGATGATAGAAGAAATTTGTTGTTTAAATGATAAACTACTGGGGGCAGGGCTGGCATGATGACTCAATTCGTCAATCCTCTACTTTAAGCACTGGCATCCGATATGGACACCTTTTTCTGTCCCAGCTGCTCCACTTCCCATCCAATTCCCTGCTTATGCTCTGGAAAAGTAGTGGAAGATGGCTCAAAGCCTTGGGACCCTGCACCCATGTGGGAGACACATGGAAGAAGCAACTGGCTCCTGTCTTCAGATCAGTTCAGCCCTGGCTATTGTGGCCATTTGGGGAGTGAACCAATGCATGGAAGATCTTTCTTCTCTGTTTCTCCTTCTCTCTGTAAATCTGCCTTTCCAACAGAATAAAAATAATAAACTATTATAATCAGGAACTATTTCGACCACACCCTTTAAAGATTATTTTGAAAAACATAAGAGAATTGAGGAGTAAAGGTGTATTGACTGGAAGACATACACATCTATCCCTCTAGATAGTTCCTTTCTCCAAAGCAGGAGTGGGGAATGTCAGGCTCAAGAAATCATTTAGTCTGGCCCTACTAAGGTAATTGCAGATAGGACCTGATATTCAGTAAATGCACAGCAAGCTAATTTTTAAGTCGATAATTTTGTATGGCTTACAAAGGATAATATAATTACCCAAATGATCCTTGGAAGAAAAATTGTTCCTCACTCCTATAGGCCTATAGGATACATCTGACTCTTCTCAAAAGCAATGGTTAAGAAAGAGCTTATTAGTTCCATGCTAGGCTGAGGAAAAACATTAAGGGACAATAATATCTGCCTTTGAAGTCATCTGCAAGGACCATATTGCACTTTAGGCTCATTTCTGAAGCTGAAAATGGTAGTTAAAATCTTGGAGAGATGTATCCTAAATATATTAGAAGTATGCAACTGCATCATTTAGTTGCAATATGACATATGAACCATTACTGAATCTATGCTCGTGAAATAGATTCAACTATAACTTGAGTCTGAGAAGAAGATAGAACAGTTCTGGTTAACCGAACAATTTATTACAAGTGCAGGAAATAAAATAAATGGGAAGAAAAAAGACAAATACGAAATAATCAGGAGTGCTGGATATAACAACTGTCAACATAACTGTGTCCTTGTCCATCACACGGTAGGGACTCTGGCTATTTGCCAAATGAACATAAGAGCAAATACCAAGAGCCTCTTCTCTAAAAAGCCTTCTCTAAGCGAAGGTTTTTGGAAATCACCTTCATTCAAAAGAGGAAGAGCCACATCCTGGTTGGTAAAAGTCAAAAGGGGGAACTAGACACCTGCAGGAGTGGGAAATTTGGTTGTCTCATTTTGCACAAGGAATAAGCACATACTGATTGGTAAGAAATTCTGAGTTGCTAAATGTGTACATAAGTGACTGTGTATATACGTGGATAAACAGGAAGGAAGAAGTATAAACACTGACAGATGTTCATGGGCCCAGCAAGGGCAAGGCGTCAAGGCACCAGCACATTATTTCTCTTGGTGTTGCTAACTGTGAGATGGACACCTAACTCAGGCTTCAGGAACAGTCCTTGGCCTGGAGTCCAGTGTGAATATGTGAGTATTGAAGAAGTCAGATCAAGAATAATAAAATCATATGAGAAGCACAAAAGTCAACCACACAACTGAGCTGAGGCCAGAAGACACATAATTCAGGAGTTTAGTAAGTAAATATATAAATAAAATGTAAAAACTCAAACACACACACATGCATCAATATCTGCATCAAGTAGTGCTATCCTGAAGTCTGATGTAATATAGTCGACATGGGGGGAAAAAAACCTTACATCTGAAGTTTTTGTTGAGGAAGAAGATAATCAGAAAGATCCAAAAAGCCCAACTACAATGTTGCATTAGAGGAAGTGAAGTGTTGGGTCTGGAATGTGGAAAGGGGAAGAAATATTACTGAGGTAAAAGGAAAAAAGTGAATGTTGGTTTTGCTGTATAGGGAAAAGCAACTTTGGTATTAAGATGAAAAGGAACAAGACACATGTAAACAGAATTTGGTTGCTGACAAACTTCCTTAGTACCTAAGAGGATTTGCCTAAATTTACAGAAGTTTATTCAGAAGGGTAACAGAAAGGATGTGGATGTCAAAATGATTCACATAAAGAGGTGAATGAATACATGATCTCATTACCTGAGGAGGTAGGGTCTTCGGAGAAATCTGGCAACTCTTCAGGGGGATCCCCATAGAATGAGTTGAATTTGTGACTTGAAACAGCGGCTAGTACTGCACCCTAAAGCCAAGAGATGAAAAGCATATTATTAAAGCACAAACATTAAAAGATTCATTAACAGACACTTAAGGAGTATTCAGAAAGACAAATACTCACACACTGGAAATGATGGCTAGAAGAGAGGTGGTTTTTAAAATAATGTTCAATTCCCTTAAAATACACGTGCATATATCAAATACTACTACTGGGAGTTGCCAAAGTGTATGAAAGCACTCAGACCTTGAACTCAAGCACATACCACACAATGGACTATTCTGCAGTAATTATACAATGCTACTTCAGAAGGCTGTTTAATGAAAGAGAAAGATGTTTGTGACGAATTGCATGAAAAAGGTTTTAAAGCAATATATAGCACGATCTCATTTTTTGGGGACGACGACAACAATAACCCTGGTAATAAGGATGTTATAAAACAATGAACACCCATCGGAATGTTTATACTATTCATCTATTCTGGGTGGTACAATTATAAACACTTTTTTTTTTTCAATTTTTTTTACCCTTTTTTCTTTTGTAACAATGACTATGTTTGTCTTTTATAAGATAATTCTCAATCAGGCTACGTATCAGAATCAACTACATGTGACTCTTCTAAGTCACCTACAGCCTCCTGACTCTTAGTTGCGAGCCATGGCCATATTGAGTGCCTGCCTCCCCTTAGGACTGTTGAGTGGGAAAGGTTGGGAGTTGCTATTTCAGGGGCAGGAAGAACAATGAAAGTGCTGGTTTGGCTGTCCAGGTTTGTCACTTTCCAGTTATGTGATACTGAGTGAATAATTTAACACCTTTACACTTTCTTTTCTTTAGGTACTTTTTTTTAAGTTGTAAAGATGTCAAAACTGACATACAGAAATAAAACACAACAAAAATCCAATGTGTATCTTCCTCACAGGAATGTCAAAAGTCCTAATGTATTTGGGTATGCTTTGAAATGACAAAGGGTTTTGTAAATGCCCATCATTACTAACACTACTAACAGCTAGAACAGGAGCCAAGTTTTTTGCTGGTCTATGTAGAAGTGCTCTTTTACCATTTAAAAACAAAGTCACTTAAATATTATTTTAGACATTAAGCTCTTAAAATTTTTCTGAAAGGAAAGAGAACTCTTTTATGTTGAAGCATTTGTTAGTAAGTATCTATAAATAAAAACACATTTCCACAAAGCTCACTCTTTGGGACATCATGTCATAGTTTCTTTATATAAACCAAAAAACAGACTGTCCAAAGAGAAGCACAGAAACAAAACAAAACACAGAAGTGATCCTAATGCTACAATCCCAGGCAACTGGTAGACTGCCAGGGTTAACACACAAGTTCTCACACAGGATTAGGGCTACCACACCGAAGAAACAGTACTGTGTCGAGTTCTTCTTTCTAGAGAAGCTTGTTTTCACTTTATGTAGTATACATGTTCCCTAAATGCTGGGTTGAAATGGAATTTTTACATATCATAATCTTTCCCACGCACTGAAACCAGAGTTTTAAAGATGTTTTGAGCTCCAAATGAATGTCAACTGAGCTTAACTATGCTTAGTATTTCGAAGTCTGTACTCACCAATATTACAAAGATCCACAAATATTTATTCCATTAACAAAATACTATTTAATAATCTGCTGAGAGGCAATTTTTTGGAAACAATGGCACTAACTTCCTAATTCATGTGATTTAAGGGTACTAGTTTTGTTTGTTTAGTTCTCTAAATAAGCTCAGCAACCACACATGGCTCAAACATCCAATGCAAAATTACTACGTAAAACAGCTAAAATGATTCTGAAATAGTGCATGGATCCACAGAATTTTATTAGAATTTGAGAATCAACTTAGAGATGACTCACAGTGAAGATGAGGAAACTGAGGCTGAGAGGCACAGCATTTTGAGGTGTCACCTTAGACCTCAGCAAGGGCAGACAGAACTGAGGTGCATTGGCCACTCCCAGAATTTAAAAAAAAAATGTCTGCTACATCAGAGGACAACAGTTTTTACAATTTTAAAAGTAAAATTTTAATTTTATTTCACTTTATCTTTTTTATTAGGGATTTATTTATTTTTATTAGGCAGATTGATGGAGAGGAGGGACAGAGAGAAAAAGCTTTAATCCGCTGGTTTACTCCTCAAGTGGTGCCAACAGACAGAATTGAGGCCATCAAAAACCAGGAGCCAGGAGCTTCCTCTGGGTCTCGCACATGGGTATAGGCTCCCAAGGACCTGGGTCATCCTCCACTGCTTTCCCTAGCCACAAGCAGGGAGCTGGATGGGAAGTGGTACAGCCAGGACATGAATTAGCACCCATATGGGATCCTGGAGCTCAAATGTGGAGAATTAGCCAATTGAGCTACTGCGCTGGGTCCTATTTATTTTAGTTTAGTTTATTTAGTTGAAAGGCAGCTTTAAAGAGAAAGGGGGAGGGAGGAAGCGAGAGAGGTCTTCCATCAATTGGTTCACTTCTCAAAACAGAGGCAACAGCCAGAGCTAGTGAATCCGAATCCAGGAGCCTGGAGTTTCCTCTGGTTCTCCCACATGGATGCAGGGGTCCAAGGACCTGAGCCATCCTTCACAGCCTTCTCAGACTATAAAAAGGGAGCTGGATCAGAAGTGGAGCATCTGGAACACCAACCAGTGCCCATATGAGATGCTGGTGTTGTAGGCGGAGCATTAGTTTGATAAACCATTATGCCAGGTCTGGGACACCAATGTTTTCAAGAAATATTTCTTTATTGAAAGTCAGGGTAAGAGAGAGAGAGAGAGAGACGCCTGATGACAGGTGCTGGGAAATTTTTCTGGGTCTCCCACAAAGGTGGCAAGAACCCAAGCAATTGGGCCAATTACCTGCTGCTTTCTAGGTGAGCTGGACTGGAAATATTGGCAGGACCCTGATATATGATGCATGTCCTAAGTGAAAGATGAAGGTGGTGCCACATCTGCACAGTTTTTCTTCTATAAAGGTCTAGACAGTGAGTATTTTAAGCTTTGAAGGTTATGATGTGATTTCTTCTGTAATTATTTAACTCTGCCATTTTAGTTATAGACAATATGTAAATGAACGTACAATGCTGTGTTCCAATAAATATTTATACAAAAAAAAAAAAAAGAGCAGAAGTTGGATTTGGCCTTCTGGTTCCTGCTTTCCAATCTCTGTCTTACATTCTCACAATTGTACAGCCTGTGAGAATTACGATGACATAAAATCACATTGTATGTAAGTAGTTCTTCAACTTCTGTGGTTTATTAAAGTCCTGACAAAGAAGTTTTCTACTTGAAGGTATACTTCAATATATTTTAAGAGTGAAAATAAAGTTAAGAAGACTATTTACAATTTGTTAAAAAAAAAAACCTGAAGTTGTAATTGCTTATTATTAAAGTATTGGAAAACAGCATTGCTAAACAAACTTTCTCCGGCTGTGCACAGTTCAGGAATACAAAAGACCAATTAGTAATTCAGAGAAGCATGCAGCTCTAATTTTACAATTTTCAAAATCAATGAAGGAAAATTGTAGAAAATTACCAGAAATTTCCCTTGTTTTTTTTTTTTTTTAACATATGGAGAGAATAAATGGGCTTTATACTCTAAATTCAACTGCATGGTTTCAATTCATCATTTTCTAGACTGGTTACAATCATGTCACCTAAAGACAGAATATTGCATCCATTTATAGAGAATTTCTTCTGACATACTTCACGGCAAGGAGACATGCTTTCTAGGGTAGAGATAATTCACGAAGCAAAAACAGATAATTTGTCGGAATGATTTCCTCCTGATACACAACCTTGGACCCTCAGACTCCCCTTTGATGAATAAATTCCTTCAGGAGGTGACCCTCAGAGTCAGAGCTGGGATATTCTCCCGTGGGGACCCACGGATTTCCCATGCTGCCTACATCACAGTCTGTCCTAAACAACATACTTTATATCTAGTTCCATATTCAGGATCATAGGAATTTTTGGGGAAGGAAGTATTGTTTCTGGATAATTTCCACTTTACTTAAGAAATTAGAATGTCAGAGCTTAGTATGAAATACAAGGAGGAAAACCTTCAATGTTGGAAGTGTCTGGCAACTAAAAGGGAAAAGAAATTTTCCATTATTCACAGAGATAAGATAAAAAAAGAAAAGGAGAATCAAAAGAAGTGTGCAATAATAATTCACACCACATGTGGGGTTCTTTAAACTCTATGCTTTTGAAGATAATCTGAAAATGATCTTAATGTTTTCTGATTATCCAAATAATTTTAGGAGTTTGTTGCTTTCTGGAGCCTGTTGGGGCGGTTAAATGCCAAAAAGAAATGAATGAATACAAACAGGAGTAACTGCTGACTGTGGAGCACTGGTACTATTATAACCAATAATGAGTAATTATTGACATTTCAGCAGAGGCAGTTAGGTGAGTCAAATGAATAACTAAGACTTTCAAATTGAGGAAAAGGTTCAACTATGCTAGTAAAACAGCCACTATCTAAGAACACACAAAATGTACTTCTGCTAGGCAAAATCTAGACTCAGCTGCCACTTGCATCAGTTGATAAATTATGATTTGAACATACACTGAGATATCATATAACTATTAAATTTGTACTTGACAATAATGACTCTTACAAAACTCTCCATACGGTGGATGTAACAGAATTACCCACGGAGTTTTCTCAAGCTATACAACTTTACATGTACCCCTAGGGTTGAAGCAGACGGGATCCCCTGATTGTGTGGTACAGTTATCAACTGCTACTGATGGCAACGTGTCAAATCTTGGCAAGTCTGCTGCAGTGGAAGCCTGTATTTAAGAATATTCTGTCATAAGGTAGAAAAAGGTGGATTTTGTGAAATGTCCATGAAATGAAACTTATTATTTTAGATGTGTAATCAAATAATTTTATGGTGTATAACTCAGAGGTATTTAGTTGAAAAGACTACTCTCTCCATTGGCTTACCTCAGCATTTTTGACCATAACAATCTTAGAATGAATTAAGAAACAATTCCATTTTCAACAGCATAATAAACCAAAATAGTTAGGAATAAATTAAAAAAAAAACCCCTAACAAGTTAAACTAACATTCCTGAGAGAAATTAAAATCTAGAGAAAGAGATAACTAATGCTCGTGGGTTGGAAGACTCAATATTGTAAAAATGACGATTCTCTCCAAATTGGTCTACAGATTCAATATAATCCCTGTCAAAGGTTTAGCAGCAAATGACAAACGGATTGTGAAATTTACACGACCGTATAAATCTTCTACAGTATCCAAAATACTCTTGAAATAAGGGACAAAGATGGAGTACTAAACTTTCAACTTTAGTATCTCCTAGGGAGTTACAGGTAGCAGGGCACTGTGGTGCTAGTACAGGGCTACATATGTAGTTAACTGGAACAGAATTGAGAGTTCAGGAATAAACCCTTATATTTCTTGTCAACTGATTTTTGTCAGAAGTGTTGATGCCATTCAACAAAGATATAATAGCCTTCTCCACAAATGGTGCTGGCACTCATGTACCACAAGAGACTTTATCTCTATTTTCTATATGACAAAATGAAGCAGAAAATGGAAATAATTTGCTCAAAGTTACACAGCTACGATCAGACCAGAATCCATCCAGGACAATGAAGTGACAGAGTGTACTTAAAAAAAAAATGCTGTACTCTTCCTATTTCTTCTTGCCATTGACACCAAACATTTGTTTTCTCAGGCGAAATAATGAAAATAATTTTCAATTGACATAAGTGAACTTCCCTTTTAATCACTTACAAGCTGCTGTCTGCCATCTGAGGAGCAGATGCCGCATGGGTGGCTGTTCATTTGTGAAAAGGAGCTCTGAAAATCAGGGCAGATGCCAGTTCCACTCCAGAAGCTCTCAAGGGTGACAGAATGGGAATTAGCTCCTTGAGGACAGTGAGTGTAACACTGCAACACTGAACTACTCATAGGAATACAGACTCACTAGAGGCTGAAATAAATGCAATTATGATCCTGCTGATGTTCCTAATTCCAGTTGTTTGGTGGGTCTCAAGGCTTTAAATAGCCGTGCAAAGGGATGTGGTGAATCCACATGACCCCTCTCTGCTTGGCTCTGGCCAAATGAATCTTAGTCACCACTTCAGCTATTTTAAGTCCAAGTCTGATTTTGTGGCACTTGGAGAGGTACAGTATGTGCTTCTTGGGATGGGTCAAGTATGAGTGCTTGGGTGTAATGTCTGAACTTGGGCAGTGAAAGGTTCAGCCCCACAGAGCTGTTTCATATAAGGCCAAAAGCAGCATTAGAGTTAAAAAAAATGGTATTTCATCCACAGAATACCCTATGGTGATGGAAATACTGTTTCCTGCGCTGTCCAGAAGGGTAGCCAGTAGCTACATGTAGTGGTTAAGCACTTGAAATGTGTTGCTGTGACTAGAGAACTGGCTTGTTGTTACTCTTATTGGATTTTTATTTTCTTTAAGGGATTTATTTCATTATTTGGAAGAGTTAGAGGGAGAGGGAGAGAGAAAACCTTTTAGTTTGATTCATTTAATTTAAAATAGCTGAATGTGACTAGTGGATACAATGTTGGACAGTTCAGCTCTATAGAACAAAATTTTGCCCTAATAGTTTCCAACAAATTCACATAAATGTTCTTACAAATTTAGCGTAGTATACAGTCATTCATTAAATCCATTAAATTCATGAGTTGAATAATGACAGACAGGTCTGAAAATACCTAACAACCTCCAGCATTTTCTCCCACACCTGGAAACACTCCACTATTTTACATTGGGTCTTTCTCAGAACCTTTAAAAGTCAATAGTGCTGGGCCTGATATGGTAGCCTAGTGGCTAAAGTCTTAGCCTTGCACACCCTGGGATACTGCATGGGCACTAGTTGGTATCAGGCTGCTTCACTTCCCATCCAGCTCCCCACTTGTGGCCTGGGAAAGCAGCCGAGGAAGGCCAAAGCCTTGGGACTCTACGCCCATGTGGGACACCCGGAAGAAGCTACTGATTCCTGGCTTCGGATAGGAGCACAGCTCTGGTCATTGCAGTCACTTGGGGAGTGAAGCAGCAGATGGAAGATCTTTCTCTCTGTCTCTCCTTCTCTCTGTAAAATCTGGCTTTCCAATAAAAGCAAATCTTTAAAAAAAATGTGCCACAATAAACTTTTAAAAAGCCATAAAAATAAAAAATAAAAAGTCAGTTGGGCTCCTTATATCTGTGATGATAATCATTCTGTTTTTTGCTTTTTTAGTGAGGCGGAGAAGGGGGAGAATGGTAAGTGGGGAGAAAAACACATAAGAAGACTTAACAAAGCACGGTGAGAAAACTGATCCAAAAAGATTTTTTCGCAGCTCAAGATAGTCGGGGATTTTATTTACTGTTTTTTTTTTTTAAAGACTTATTCATTTGTTGGAAAGTCAGATATACAGAGAGGAGAGACAGAGAGAAAGATCCTCCATCCAATGATTCACTCCCCAAGTGAGCGCAATGGCTGATGCTATGCCGATCCGAAGCCAGGATCCAGGAACCTCCTCCAGGTCTCCCACGTGGGTGCAGGGTCCCAAAGCCCTGGGCCATCCTCGACTGCTTTCCCAGGCCACAAGCAGGGAGCTGGAAGGGAAGTGGAGCTGCCGGGATTAGAACCGGCGCCCATATGGGATCCTAGCGCTTTCAATGTGAGGACTTTAGCCGCTAGGTGACACCACCGGGCCTATATTTACTATTGTGTGATGAATAGTTATTCAATCCTACTCCCAATTCGAAGCCCGTGCTACATCATTGAACTTAACTAATAGTTTCTGTAAAAATATCTGACGAAACATAGCTTGATTCATATTTGACAATAATGTAACTATATTTCTGCTATGAATTTTAAAGAGAAATTTAAAACATGACTTATTGCACATGCATCATTTAGTTTTGTGATTCATACTGATATACAGGGATAGCCAATTTTTAAAATGCAAAATCTCACTGAAATGGTTGGTAATGTTGGAAATGAGAACTTAACCGTAATGAAAAACAATGGGCAAAACTAGAATATGTTTATGTGCGCTAACTAAGAATAAAAACACTGCCAACAACTGTATTTTTCTGGTGTTTTGTTGATTTGTTAAAGTTTACCTTCAGTTTCCTCCTTGCATTGAATTTCCTCAGTTGCTCTACTGTTTCCGGCAGATGAATCTTGTAGGCATAACGATCCCGCTCCTGGAAAGAGAACATGGGTGTACATAACCATTTAGAAAAGCAAAGCAGTTTCATCTGCAACTAACAGTAAAGTTCAAATTTGTAAATGTAAAGTTTGTACTGAATCTAGAAGATTAAAATTTTTATCCCATGATATTGGTGAATAATCTGAAATGAGAGAGAAGTGTTGAAACTGATAGTAAAATAACATTTTATTTTCAGCAACAATAAAGAACTGAATTAATAGTCCATTTAACTTTTTTTCATCTATGGCTACCTGGCTAAAATAGACATAATTATCAGGAAGGTATGAAATGACCTATGACATGATTTGCAAGCTAAAACAAGTATTTGAAGAATGAATGCTACAACTGACTTGACCTCCTATGCTGTCAGGAATAATTACACTACAAAAATATCATTTTGGAAGTAGGACAAGTCTTACAAGGCCATCCGATTTAACCATTTTCCTCACGTGGAATCCCCTTCAATTCATATGTGTTTGATTTTGCCCCAGCAAAAGATCATCATTTTACAGAAGCTCATTACAGTTGTAAGAAAGTATAACTTTGAAAATGTTCTTTTATAGCCTGGGCCTGCACTTGGCTTGTTTAGGCTGGTTCTAAGAGCAAATATATAACTTTTTCCGTAACAATCATGCTTCTATCATGAAGAGGGGAATTATGGATCTAATGAAATCCATTCTGAGCCAATACCTCCAGCTGCCCCAACTATTCCTTACATATGTTTCAAAACCATTGTTGTTCTTATCCCCATTTTGCAACTACCGTAATTTGTCAATGTGTCTTGAAGCTTGATGTGTGGCAAGTGCTCACTAATTTCACAAGTTTTTCTCCTGAGAGCAGACCACGTGCCTTTACGCCCTTGGGTCACGCAAGTTAACCTCCACACGGATATCAGTCCTCATGTAGCTCACAGTCTAGTGGGAAAGGATGAGGAAACACGTAAAAGGTGAATTACAGCACATGTAAAGGGTACCATGGAAGAAATTAACAAATGTAAATCAGCATAAAGGGGATTGAGTGCACTGCAATTCAAAACAAGGCGGTCAGAGTAGGCCCTGCTGAGAAAATGGCATTCAAAAGATGTGAGGGAGCATTCTGGGCAGAGAGCAGCCACACTCCCTCCAGGGGAGGAGTGAGTCTGGAATTTGGGGGAAGTAAGAGGACATCAATGTGAGTGACATCAATGTGAGTGAAGTGCTGGGCTAGATGCAAGGGGTCACAAGGTTGGGTTAGGCCATGAAGGCCTGTAGCTTTTATTCGAAGTGGGAGAACTCACCAGAAGGGTCTTGAGCTGGAATGATATGATCTGAGTGAGTTTTAAAGAAATATTCTATGTGCTTTGCTGAAAACAGATTAGAAGGCAAATAGGGCTGGAAAAAAAGACAAAACCAAAACCAAAAAAACAAACTCAGATAGGTGCGGCCATTGTATGGTCCTGCACATTAAGCTGCCACCTGTGCTGCCAGGCATCCCATATGGGTGCCAGTTTGAGCCCCACTTGCTCCAATTCTGATCTGCTAACAGACTGGAAAACAGTGGTGTATGACCCAAGTGCTTGGGGCTCTGCACCCACATGGCAGACTGGAAGAAACTCCAGACTCTTGGCTTTGGCTTGGCATAACTCCAGCCTTGCAGCCAGCTGGGGGAGTAAACCAGCAGGTGGAAAACCTTTCTCACTCCTTCCTTCCCCAACACCCCGTCTCTGTAACTCTACCTTTCAAACAAAAAATATTAAAAAAAAAAAAAAAAAAGAAGAGAGAGAAAGAGAGATGAGTCAGGAGACTAATACAGTCATCTAGGAGAATGATGGTGGTACATGGAGAAAATAAAACAGGTGAAAGAAACCACAGAGAGTGAAAACACATGTTTTCCCCTAAAAGTTTTACTGGGGTAAAAACTCAATAAACTTCATATTTAAAATGTGCACTTAAGGGCCTGATGCGGTAGCCTAGTGGCTACAAGTCCTCACCTTGCATGTGCCAGGATCCCATATGGGCACCGGTTTGTGTCTTGGCTGCCCCACTTCCCATCCAGCTCTCTGCTTGTGGCCTGGGAAAGCAGTCAAGGACAGCCCAAAGCCTTGGGACCCTGCACCCACGTGGGAGACCTGGAAGACGTCCCTGGCTCCTGGCTCTGGATCTGCTCAGCTCTGGTCATTGTGGCCACTTGGGGACTGAACCAGCTGATGGAAGATGTTTCTGTCTCTCCTTCTCTCTGTGTATCTGACATTCCAATAAAAATAAATAAACCTTTCAAAAAAAAAAGGATACTCAAGCAAGTTATGACATTATGTCTACAAATATAAAGCATCCCCCGTGACGGTGCTCATGCTCACTGACCTCCTTTGCAATCCTCCCTCCCTGTCCTGGGGCAGTGGTGGATCTATTTTTTTCTTTTGCCAACAGAATTTTATACAAGAAAAATCATTCAATATGTGCTCGTAACTGTCCAGCTTCTTGCACTCACTCTAATGATTTTGCATTGAATCCTTTGGCTATGTAAGTCAACTGCTCACTTCCTCTTGCTGCTAAGTGGTATTCCTGGGCTGTTTTCATTTTTGTCTTGCTACATATAAAAAGCTGACAGAATCATCCATGTACAAGTATTTGAATGAAAATATCTCATTTCTGTTTATTAGGTATTAAGGAGTACAATGAGGGGTCATATGGCAGAAGTGTATTAACTTTTTAAGAAACTCCCAAACTGCTTTTTCGAGATGATTGTAATATTTTGTACTGCCAGAAGTAGTGTGTGAGTTCCAGTTGCTCTACATCCTGGTCAACACCAACTTGGCATGTTTTCTTTTTTTATATATATTTTTATACTTATTAATATATAGAACACGTTTCATGGATTTCATTAGACTCACATCATGAGTGGATTCCAGAGCAGCCAATGGCATTGCAGTGGATTGTTAAAATAGTCCCTATTTAACAAAATAAACACTTTTCCCTCCAAATTTCCCGTTTTAGTCAGTTATTGATACCAAGGAATCTGATGTTCCAAAAACATGATGTGTTAAAATGACTACCCAGTCATGAAACAGAATGAACAGATTGCACCTTATGCTACCACTAGTGACAACCGAGAATCTTAGATGCTACATACAAAAGCAACTAACTAACTCTCAAAGCTGGAGCAAAGGAGATAAACTGGGTAGGGATCCCACGACTTGAGGAATAACCTTGTGGAACTGCCGGAATTTCTCTCCCCTCCTAACATATCCTGGCTTGTGTGTGAGCCGCCTAGAGCTTGCCAACTTCAAGGACATGAAACACAGACAAAATGAACTTCAAGAAAAGTCCACCCCATTTAGCCAAAGGACTGAGAATAAGAGAATGTTCTGTGTCTTTATGTTATATTGGTAGCATATCAAAATCTATTTCATAGCCTGGACATGTCTTTCTCTAACAAACTGGAAAGTTTACTTAATATCTGATGATGAAATCTATTTTTAGTAACTTTTTTTTGCTTTCCATTCACTAAAGTGAAGTAGTGAGAAAGATATAATGGAAAAGTATGTTTTCTATGGAATTATTCTTCAATTATGACTTTTTCCTCTTGAAACTATTATTCAAATGAAGTTGTTAAACAGGTATACTGTATTCATAAGACATTCACATATTACTTGGTCTAAAACTCAATTTTTCCTTTGATATAAAACAGTTTTTGAAGAGGACTTTATTTCTTGTGATTCTACCAAAGACAGATGAACACCACTTACAACCACAGTTAATGACTTACAGATGTACATGACCTAGTGTTGAAGTACAACACAACTCTGCTCTCACCAATTAGACAGCAATTTTAGGAAATTTTTCCATCTTCATCTGTCACAAGCAGTGACGTGAAACTGTAGTACAGATATCACTATAACATTGAGTGCTAATAATCTTCCAGCGTTTTCTCATGGAAGTTACTGATATTGTCTTGTCTTTTCTGGTGCCAGAATCTGTTACATGTTAAGCTTAGATTACTTAGTACAGGAACTATAATCAGTGGTTGGGACAAGAGTTTCCAAAGATAAACACGTTATACCCAAGAGAAGCTCTGATAATGAAAGCGATACAGTGACACATACTTTTTTCCACATGATTTAAAAAGTGAGTATAGTGACTGCCATTTTCATTGTGATTTCACATTTAGACTAGTTTCTAATGAAGAAAATATTCCCATTATGGAGACATGGGGAAAAGCAAAGTGGAAGAAAAATGGGAACCCATGCCCCTCAAAAGCCCTGTTCATTTTACACCTAAGAAAAAATAATAGGCATCGAAGAACTGCTTATTTATTCTATTTTGGAGAAAAATTTAGGATAGTTTGATTGGACAGAATATCAGAGGGCTGAAAGCCCATTTAAGAAATAACCTTTTTTTAAAAAAGATTATTTATTTGAAAGTATGACAGAGAGAGGGAGACACAAAAAGAGATCTTTTATTTGTTGGTTCAATCACAAATTGGTCACAACAGCTGGGCTGGGCCAGGTTGAAGCTGGGATCCTGGATCTTTATCTGGGTTCCCCAGGCCAGTGGGAGGGACCCAATGACTTGAGCCATTTTCTGCTGCCTTCGCAGTTGCATTAGCAGGGAGATGGATCAAAAGTGGAACAAAATGGACTTAAAGTGGTGCCCAAATGGGGTGCTGGTATTGTAGGCAGCAGCTGAAACTGCTGTGCCATGTCACCAGGCCCTATAAAGACATACAGTGGGATCCAAGAGCGATCCTGACAACCTCTTAACAGGTCATTTGCACAGAGCAGGAAGGGGACCCTAGAGTGGAGCAAGAGGACAGCAGGAGGCTTGTATCCCAACCCTGGAGACTCCCGGATCCTCACCAAGGACTATATTCTAACGGCCAAGGAGACTACAGGGAAGTGGAATGCGCTCATAGACCAAGAACTTTGCAGTCATCCATTCCCTATTGGATCTCCCACATGGGATGGAAGATGCCCAGATCCTTCCTCGTAGGATATAACGTCATCAGAACAACAGTCAGGAGCCCTGAGCGGTCCTCAGAAAAAGAAGACCAGTAAACTTCTTTTGGGACTCGGGAGAGGAGCTTTTTCTGGTCCTTACTTAGTTCCAACTTTGGCTCCCCACTCTCTCTTGCAATGACCATTAGGGTCGCTTCGGAGACCCCCAACAAAAATTAGATCAGATAGACAGAGACCAATAAGGAAAGCTTAGAACAGACAGGGAACAGCTTAAACTCCCATATACTTTACTAGGTAGGACACAAAAATTAGCTACTCTTCACTAAAGTATTGAAGATTTCTCGGCACACTCCTCCTAAAACTGTTCTGCTCCCCAGTTGTTAATATATGTCTTGTCTGAGTTATAAGCCTGTTTGGACTAGCCTAAAATTTGTGAAGTTCAGTAGAAATCATGCTTGAATACTATAAGCTGCTAAATATAAAAATGAAAATAGACACAAGACAGCTGAATAGTACCCTATAACCATTTTAAGGTGTATAGCAGCTGGGTGTGTATATACTAAAATTGAAATGTCAATGAAGTAGTTGCAGGATGTGGTTAAGAACTTGCATTTTCTAACATATTGGTCACTCAGTACCATGTCAATTAACTCCATGATGTTGTAAACTGTTGTTGAAGTTGTGTAGTAGCTTTTCATTGGAGAGGATGATATTCTGCCAGCTCTACTTTCAGATCACGGATGGTTCCCAATGAAACTGTTGAATTTATCTGGACAGTAAGATGCTGGACTTTATGCATGGTCCATGCCCGCAATGAAGGAATCATGACTGGTTATGAACTGTACTACTGTAACAATATGGAGGAATCCAATATGGGGGGAGGGCTTTTTGGAGGGTTTGGGGGAATCCCAGAGCCTATGAAACTGTGTCATAAAATGAAAAAAAATGTACTAGAATTTCAAAATTCTTTTATAAATATTATTTCATTAATATTGCTGCCATTAAGATATATTACTAATTTACATTTTTATAAATCTTATGTTTTATATAATCTCTGGGCAAGTAGCATGGTACAATATGAAATCACTCATATTCACCGAGGACCTATCATGTGCCAGAGACTTTCAAGGCAGTAGATCGACATGAACTAAGAGAAGAAAAATTGTACCCTTTACGAAGCTTTTATTTTTGGGGTAATATCTAGTATCCATTTGAAAACAACCAAATATTGTAAAGCTGACAATCGCACCTGAGATACAGATGAATACGCTGGCAGATGTTGTGCAGCAATAACAAGATGAACCAAAGGAATGAAAAGTGCCCAGGAAGAAGCAAAGGGCCACCCCACTACAGAGCAACGCAGTCCTGCCACTGGGAGTGTTCAGACAGGCATGCATGGTGATCCTATAAGCCCACGTACCTTCAGCCAGGGGTGATTCAGCGCTTCATAAACAGTGATCCTTTCAGCTGGGTCCAGCATCAGCATGCGGCGTACAAGATCTTTGGCACTTTCAGAGATATGGCTCCACTGCCTCGGATTCATCTAATGGGAAGGAAAAGAAAATCATATTACCACCAGTGACCTGGCAACTCTCGCTACTATGCAGCAGTTCCTATAGAGCTTCCACGTGACTCAGATAGTCAAGGAACAGCAGGCTCTTCCCTAAGGTCTGTTTTCTATGGAAGAAAGGGACAAATGCATTTCATCTGCTCTGATCCACTACAGGAAAATTTGCATGAGTAAACATCTTGTACATGTGTCCTTAATTGAAGCACAGAATATTCATGATTCTAGTGTCTATCTTTTAGATCTTCAGCTAAAGAGACTAGAATATTTTTATTCAGGAAGGAGTGAAATAATTACAACTCTAGTCTCTGCTATCACTCTGCCTTCCAAACAAATAAATCTTTAAAAATAAAAGAAAAACTTCAGGTAATATTTAAAAAATGTTTTTAGAAATTATGATCAGCAGTAGCTGTGAAGCTATGAAAAGTTATCAACGGGATATAAAGAATGAATTATCCCAAAAATGTACATTTGAAAGGAATATTTATGGAGAAAGAAAGAGACAGACAGACAGACAGACAGAGAGAGAAAAAAAAGAAAGAGTTAGAGACACTTCACTCCTTAAATGGCTACACTTCTGAGGCTGGGTTGAGTGGAAGTCAAAATCAAAAGCCCAGAGCTTCATGTGGGTCTCCCACATGGGTGGCAGGGATCCAAACACTTAGGCCATCATCTTCTGCTGATTTTCTAGGCCTTTAACAGGGAGCAGGAGCAGAAGTAGAGCAGCTATGACTCAAACTGGTGCCCATACAGGATGCTAGTGTCATAGGTGGCATCTTGATTGGTTATGCCACAAGGCCCCCATAGAATAAGTAATTTGTCTACTCAATGATTTTGGTTTTTTTTTGCATCTCTATCAGGAATAAGGCAACTAAGATACATGGTATCTTAAAAATAACAAAATGAATTATGAGTTGGTCAAAAGGCACAGGACTTGTGAGAAACGTGGCAGCCCTGTGAGGAAAGTGTTAGATGGCTCCTGGGAAAATGGACTACATCTGAGACCAGGAAAAAAAAAAATTCAAAGAGAGTGTTTAAGCTTGGGATTGGGAAGGCAAATGAGGACAGGAGACAGAGATGGGGTAGGGTCTGACTCCCTGTCCAACATCAGTAAGCTTACTTACTCTGTGAGCTTACGTGGGCTACCTGGTGCCCGGAACTTTAAGCAATGCCATAAGTCAATTCTGTGGAAGAAACGTGGAGAATAACTCCACAACAATTTAAATCCAAATGAAATCACTGTACAAATAAGTCTTACAATTTAGTCAAGCGTTACACACAACTCTGGCTGATGTGAGCTTTGCGCTTGTATAGGGGGAATGAGAAGTATCTCCATGTTGGAGACAGCACTTAAAACTGGAATGTGTTCCATTTCCTTCTTTCTGACAGGCAGAATTCCAAATGGCAGTCTGTTTTGCTTGTCAAACTGCATTAAGATGAATGTCATGACACTGGTTAAATATTGGCATCCTCCTGAAATTGTGTTTCATTCACCAGTTTGAAATGAAAAGGTGAGTGATGAACAGGGTGTGGCTGTGTTCTGTTTTCTCTGCCAGAGCTGATGTGCTCCTTGAAGCCTGAACAGTCTCAGCTGAACAGAGGATGAGCAGGAAATTCCCTAGGTCTTTTTAAGAGGGAACCCAATAGTGTTCTTCAGGTGAGAAGCTTGGTTAAAGTTAGTTTGGGAGGTGTGGAAACAAAACAAGGCTACAAAACAATCTCACTTTTTTGAAGGCATAGCAGCTTAGAATTCTCTGTGCAGATAACAACTGGCTATCTGTAACAATGACATAAGGTGATGTTGCATCTTTTACACACATTTGGAAAGTATGGTTTTGTTCTTTATTTAAAAAGTTACTTTAGGTCAAATGTTAGCAGACATCCCTGTGAAATAGTACAGAGAATACTATCAAGTACGGTAGCAAATGGGAACAAATAGTTCAACTAAAATCACATAAGACTAGCCATAGCCTATAAACTCTAATTATGTAAACTTTTAGACTTTGAGTAATTTTATTTTTGAAATATTATAGTGGACCTGGCATGACAGCTCAGTGGCTAAAGTCCTCGCCTTGGAAGCACCTGGATTCCACGGGAACCAGTTTGTGTATCAGCTGCCCCATTTCCCATCCAGCTCCCTGCTTGTGGCCTGGGAAAGCAGTAGAGGGTAGCCCAAAGCCTTGGGATCCTGCACATGGGTTTGGTTCCTGACTCCAGTTTCTTGCTAATGTATACTGTGGGAAGCAACAGATGATGGCTCGAGTTAATTGGGGTCCTGCCACCCACATGAGAGACACGGACTGAATTCCTGACTCCTGTTTCCCACGTCAGAATACCTATGTTTCATATCCAGCTTTGGCCCTTGACTCTTATTTCCTGCTAGGAAAGATCCTGGGAAGCAACAGATGATGGCTCAAGTAACTGGATTTCCGTCATCTATGTGGGAAACTTGGGATGCGTTCCTGAATCCCAGTTGTAGCCTGAGCCAGGGATCACTGTAAGCACTGAGGAATGTAGAAGCGGATAGGAGGTCTCTGTCTTATCCCTTTCTCTTCCACTTTCTCAAATACATACATACACATATAAATAAAACAATGAACCAGTATGTTGAGAACAGATAAAGCAAGGTTGGCTAACTGTTAACTATTAAAGCTTGGGGCTCATTATGTTATTATTTCTACTACTATGGTTTGAAATTTTCCATGATAAAAAAGTCAGAATAAATGCTGATACAATCATATCACTGTATATTAAAGAAGAAATAAACAGGGCCCTTTAGGTTCATCATAGTAGTAGAGATGAATCTAAACTTGAAACGAAGCTGCTGAGAACCCAGGTTTTTGAAAGCAAAGCCATTAAGATAAGTAAAAGATGAATTTATTAGCCCAGTACAAGAGCAAATAAGTTATTAAAGAGTTCAGAACCCATGTACATAAATTCTGATACAGCTGTCACTTTGTTTTTTCAATTTTAAACTATGTTTATTTATGAATTTATTGTTTTACATATAAGAAGATGAAAAGTTGCAATGCAACACAAGCTTCCATTTACATCAAGTAGAAACACAGAGGCTTTTCAGACTGAAAATCCTAAATTATTATACATTCAGTATTCCCTGTTCAAGGAGACAAAGACATAGAAAAGATATGTTTGCGTACTTTCTTTCACTACCATTTCTCTGACTTACATTTGAAATGAATTACTTCAATTATAAGAAAAAAATTTATTAGTGCAACAAAGTGGCATCCATAAAAATATTGAACCTATAAAACATAGCTATAAATTTTTAAGCAGTTTAATTCACTGATTCAAACAAGCTATAAAGTAGTATATACTACATTGTTAGGGCACCATGGGGGAGATACTTGTATTTGCTCCTATTTACTTTTGTTGATGATTTTGGAAAGATCATACTAGCCATTTCTGGACTGCATTTGTGTGTGTCAACATAAAGACAATCATGAGACCACACAAGCTCCCAACAAGTACAATTTGTTAAAATTTTCTGATAGCATGCGTGATGAGTCTGAAAAGAAAAATGTAAATAAAACATAATGGTTTGATTCGATTGTAAAACAGAGGAGTATCAATAATATGTTTAAGAAAATACAGTTTTCCTACAGCTGTAACTTTGAATCCGACTTACTGTAACAGTGTAGCATAGAATGGAGAGAATTTAAAATAAACTGATTTTTGGACATGTGCAAGTAGTCTGTTTCTTATAGAGAAACAAACATAATGATCCAATGTTTTAAAAATAGACAAAATAAAACACCAGACTCTGTTGGAATGAAGCACATTGCCTTGGAAACCAGGAAGTTAGCAACTCAACAAACACAAAAGAAGAATTCTATTATTAGCAAATGCTTGTAAGACAAAAAGGAGGTGGGAGATTTTCTTATATGGCACCTTCATCAGAAACTGCTGTGAGGATTAAATAAGTTAATATAATTAAATAAGCTTATCTTTTAATTCCACCTTCCAGGTACTTTTTTCAACTACTTCACATCTGATTTCACCTGACACAATCCAACAGGAAAGCCATGCTTATGCATTCCTCATAGTTATTCACAATTTCCAGGGATTGATGGGGTATGACTACTTACAAATATTTCCTGGGAGATTTAATTACCTTTTAAGTATTCATTTTATCCCCAGTTGCCAACTCACTCTAAGCCAACCAGAACAGCCTACATTCAAAATGACTCTGAAAACACAGTCTTGGCATATGGGTTTTCTTATTTTATTCCAGTTTTTAATTTATTGAAGAGACAAAGAGGGACAAAAGGAAAGGGAAGGAAGGAGAGATGGAGAAGAGAATGGGAGAGAGTGATCTTACCCACTGGTTCACTTCCCAGATGCCTACAATGGCAGGGGACATAGTGGTCCAAGTTGGGAGTGGGAACTGGGAACTCTACTTAGGCCTCTCATGTGGGTAGCAGCATCTTAATTACCTAGCCCAACAACATTACTGCCTCCCAAGAGTTCCATTAGCAGGAACCTAGAAGCAGGTGTCCTAATCAATGGCTTAAGTGCTAGCCCAAACACCCACAGCTGGCATTTATCTTAAATCAATATGCAGACAAATCTATAGGTACTTAAGGGATGGTGGTGTATAAGGCAAACAAAAGAACAAGTTTGTGTTAATAGCTTTAAAAGGAAAAGGCTGCAACTGTGAAACTACTTTACCTTTCATCCCCCCGCCAAGCTCCATGTATTAAGAATCTAATATGGAAAACAAAACTTTAGGGGCCTTCCAGTTTTGGAGTCTATAGTGTTAGGAAAATGAATGTCTGGTTCTGTGTATTCAGGCATGGCTGAAAATGAAACAGTGATTCTGCTAGATACAAAATATCACTTTCAGTAATTACGGGAGGAGAGGGAATTTCCCCCACATACACTGCCTCTATCTGATATGCACTCACACACTCCTCCATGCTTCCTCCTCCTGCATCCTGCAGGATGTGATGGCAAAGGGCAGAACTTTGAAGAGCTGGGGCAGTGAAGCCAACCTTTGGAATATTTATTTCCAAGAAATAAGGATTTTCTGACACAATCAATCACAATCAATGATGACTTACAACTTTGGAAATTGATTTACTAATATCAAGTCTGCCATAATACATGTGGCATGTAACACACAGCAGCCAAAGAACACGAATGTTTAAGTCACATTCAAATGTTTTGAAACTGGATTATGAAATGTAGTTTCAATATTGGCATTTTCAGTTTATTCTAAATGGCAAGAGTTTTGGCATATATTTTTCAACAACAAAATGTACTTATTTATGTATTTGAAAGGTTAAGTGACAGAGACAGATTTTTTTCATCTGCTGATCATTCCCTAGCTATGGGCCAGGAAGAAGCTGCAAGCCAGTAACTCCATCTGGGTCTCTCACAACAGCCCAAGTACTTGCACAATTACATTCTGCCTTCTCGGGTGTATTAGAAGGAAGCTGGATTGGAAGAGGAGCAGCCAGAACTTGAACCAGCACTCTCATGTGGGATGTTGGTGCTGCAAGCTTAACTTGCTGCACCATGGCAGTGGTCCTTGGTACACAAGTCAAATTTGGATGGAATTTCCATTTCACTTAACAAATTAAGCAAAGAACTTTAAAAATGAAGCTCTTCTCTGAAATTATACATAGAAAGCTCTTAGAAGTTTTTTTCTTCTGGATGATGGTAGAGCTAATAGGGAGTCAGAAGTTTATCCAAGGACTGAGTTGCCTCACAAGGCTACCGAATCAATGATGCAATTAAGCACCTCTCTTCTTCTGAGTAAGTTAGGAGCAGTCAGTCAGTGAGCAAAGACAGTAACCACAGAAACATTTTTCAGGACAATTGAACTACAATGGAAAAAGTAAGCATTCCAAACACACTACCTTGTATTTTCCCTTGATGATGCCTTCAAACAATCTTTCCTTGGTTCCGTAGAAAGGCAAGCAACCACTGAGCAGGATGAAGAGGATCACGCCACAGCCCCAGACATCCACAGGCTTTCCATAAGGCTCTCTTTTAACCACTTCCGGGGCCATAAAATGAGGTGTTCCAACGCGCCCTGCATTGAAGATGACAACAACAACAAGATTAAGGAAAAGTGTTTACGTAATACAGGGCTTTCTGCTTGAAAACTGCAAACAGAATAACAATCAAAATGAAAAGTTTACCAATATAAATACCCTCTCATCTCTCCCCTCCGCATAAAATGAAGCTCATAGATGGGACAACATTTAGCTAATTACCTCTTTGAGATATTGAGCCCAGCATATGATACTGGTGCACCCTATAGCATTATTTGCATATTTCTTGCTTCATAAAGGTAACGTTTTCTCAGTTGGAGCCGAGGCAGGTGGAAGAGGCAGCAGGCAGACTGCTGCCTAGAAAGGAGCTGGGAGGCCTGCCCTGGGCTGAGGCAAACAGGGGAGGAGGCAGAGGCGAGGAAAAAAAAAAAAAAAACACTGGAAAAAAGATAACTCTGATTGCCAAATGGAAATTCCCCAGTGAAACCTAATGCTGAGAATTTTTATCTGGAATAGGAATTTGAACTTGAAATCCTGTTCAACTGATTCTATGAGCTGACTGTAGCCATCAACAATGGGCTATAATAGGACTTTTTTCCTTCCACCTAGAATGGGGACAACGATCACATCACCCAAAGGTGAACCACGAAGCTTATCGCTATTGAATCTTCTCTGATCCTCATCTTTTTAAAAGAGCCTTTACTCCCTCACACAGAAAAACTAACTTTCTGGAAGGAATCTGTTATTAGATTCAACTCAGTATCACAACAGTTTTCTCCTCCACTATGAAACTAGCAACTAGTAACCCATAGGTTGGGCCCGGCGTGGTGGTCTAGCAGCTGAAGTAACCCATAGGTAATTCTTGTGTGACAGGGTACTACTTAGTAGACTTGGCAGCTCTTCTAGACGCATGCAAGCCCCCCTCACTTCCTCCTCTGTCCTCTCCCCATTATACTGAGTCCAAGATATTTTTTATTTTGAAGATTGCCCAATACTTTATCTAGAGTTCAGAACTGTGGTTTGGAGCTTAAAAAGATCTCACAGGCCTTCTGGTTCTGGTAGAGAGACTATCACAAAGTCTTCTTACTGATTATGCAACTGAGCGCTGGAGAAGGAACTAGTAGTGCTTAGCCTGCATTTCAGGCCTTTGCAGAATGCCATTAGTTTACTTTCCTACTCCACAATCTCAGAAAAGATTATGTTCAAGGTTCTAATGGTGAAAATATTTTAATTTAAAATGTACAGATCAGTGAAATGGTACCAGTTAGAAGGCCATACAGTTTTAAAAAGACTTCTGTATTGCCCCAGTTTGATTCCTCAAACAATGCAAAGAAGCTGCAATGATGGGAGCTAAGCCCCATTTATTAGCAGCCTGAACAGGGACAGGTCATAGAGAATGAGCCTTATTCCTTTGAGCAGCAGCTGGCAGGAGTCAGCAAAAGCAGTGCAAGAGTGTAGGGTACTGGTAGCAGGGCACCAGTCAGTTCCTGTTAATACTTCGATGTGGCTTTGAAACTCAACTTGACTGCTACCATTTCCTCCACAAGAAAGGGTTGCATGGCTCAAAACTAGGGCCTTCCCTTGGGAATAACCACAGCTACCATGTTCAGTCCCAGCCATCCTGATGAGTTTCTCTCCATTTATATGGCTTGAAGGCCAACCAATCCTACAGAACTAGTCATTTTTCTTGGGGGAAAGAGGCATGTCGTAAGGTAAAAGAATTTGTTCCTAGGTGATATGGGGAAAGACTCTTTTAGTAGAATGTGAAAAGGACCAGAGTTAGCCTTAAATTTACACCAAACTACTTGCTTTTGCTGTAGTAAGTTTTCCTTCTTTGTGACCATTTGACATTGGCCACAAAATTCTAAGAACAGGAAACCAATGACCAAACCAAATTAAATGTCACTCTTTATGAGATATATGAGATACGTATAAAACAACTGTATGTCATATTTTGTTAATAAAACATTTATAGCACCCCAGGGAGTTGTTCTGAATAGCTACATTTTCAGTAATTCAAGATTCGAGTCTTTATGCACAGTCCTTTTTTTACTTGATAATTTTATATGGAAACCTTTCTGCAATGCCTTAGCTTCCGTTACATAGAATGTTGTATGCAATTTAATTTTCTTGATGATGACTTGAGTTGTCATCGTGGATCTCAATTAAGAGCTATATAACACAAAGTACGCCCAGAAACTTTAGCAAGCTTGATGTTTTTATTTTTTTTTTTGTATTAAAAGTCTGTGCTTTTCAAATTTTGGTTTCTGCTCACTTTTTTTCCTGTCAAGCTTTCATTTTTATCTTTCATGAAACTTATTCCAGTTCTGGCTTTGTATAACATGTTGTTTATAACCTGCTATTAACTGGAAACTGACTAGCAACCAGAATCATTTATTAATAACAATTTTGTAAATGCTTGCAAGTCCCCAGACACTCGAATGCATGCTGGGGACATACAGAAGGATAATCTGTGGTCACCCTTGCCTTTCTTTGTAAATCTCAGTTTTGAAATGATTTTAAGTTCCTGTATCAAATGCTACATGGAAGCATATACCCAGCATATCGCCACATGGTAACAAAGAAGAGAAGGAAGAGAGCTACTCAACTAGGGATGATGTAGATCGGCCTGCTTTGAAGAAGGGAACATCATTGGCTTATTCTTATACAATAGTAGGAATTAACCAAATGACAAAAGGCATTCTAATGAGAGGGAACATTAGGGGCAAGGTATGAAGGATTATGCATCTGCACAACTATAAACAAATAACAGCAGGTCAATGTCATGCAGTGTCTTCAGAGATCTAATTGAGAGGATAATGAACAGGTTTTAAGTGCAGGAACACTTTTGCTGTTCTTTTAATTACTTTCTAGGTTTCTGGTTGCAGTCCGGATAAGAGAGTTACCCAAATAGCCAAGCTTAGGTAGGGGAAACAAATGTACTGAAACGGTTCTTACCATATATAGAGAATTTCTTTCTATTTAGAGGACTGAGTGATTGAAGTTTCCAAATGACAGGTTTTCTATCTTAAGGCTGATAAATACCAGCAAAATTTCAAAAGCACATTATAAAACAGAAGAGCTTTTTCTAACAAATCACTTATTCCTTGTTTATCTATATATTTTTAAAAAACCACCATAATGTTCAGTTATTTCAACAATATAACAAAAAGTATGTATGTTATGCAATGATACTATTGTGACCATCAGAAAGTATTTTAGTTCTAGAAATACAGAGAACAGTCAATTTTCTTTTCTTCTTTTTTTTTAAGTTTACTTTTGGGTTTTGGATGCGTCATTACAAACAGGCATGCCAACTACAGGCTTCCCCAGCAAGGTCCAGGCTGCTGGCCACTTCGCATGGGGCACACTACCACTGCCTGAGTGGGGTAGACCCTGCTGCTGGCCAGTGTGCCTACCGGTACATCGAGGGTCGCTAGGGTTGCCACCGGTGGTGATGTTCTCGCCCACACCAAGTCTGCCACCTCAGAGGTAAGCATGAGGATCAGGATCTCTCCAGGGCTAAGAACAGTCAATTTTCAATAACTAAATGAGTGGACATTCAAAACTTTGTCACAATATACAATTTAGGGGAAAGTTGATGGATTAACATGAAGAAAGTGCCCTGGTAAATCCCATGAATCTGTTTTTGCTGTTTGTAAATCAAGAGGCAAAATACAACAGAAGTCTACGACATTCTAAATACAAATAAGATACTGATTCACAGAAACACAAACAAAATTGTTCTGCATGGCTGCTCCATTCCATTCCACTGTATCTAATTAATTGAAAATATAACCATCCAAAATTACTCATCATCATTGGGTAGTCTTAACATAGTGGATGATCTGTACTAATACTGGAGTTGAAAGAATTTGTTTAACACCTTTTAAAAACTGAGAATTATTAGTTGACTGCAAGATGAATATGAGCCAACTCTCTCATAAAGTTATTTGAATAGCTCAGGCCATCTGAGAAGCCTGATGGAAAACTGAGAATCAGACTGAAAGAAGTAATATAATAACGTCATGCTATTGTGCATCAGACTAGTTGTTACCTGTAGTTATGGTGCTGTCTGGTTCTGTGCTTCAGATTCTGAATCAGTTTATATGAAGAATGGCTGAATTAACCTAGGGAAGTTAACTTGGATAAAACTTCGGGGGACATACTTGTTGTATTCAAGCATTTGGTATGGCTGTCATATAGCAGGATGAAAATTCTTCACAGTGACTTCAAAAGTAAGACTACTAGGTAGAAGTTACAGAAAGATTTTTGGTTAAAATAAGGACTGACTTTTCAATTCTTAGGGAATATTTTAAAATGAAATGAACTGTCCTGGTACATAGTGAGTTCTTTGCTAGCTAAAGAGTTAAATCACAGCTCAACCTTTTGCTGGGAGCACTATGCAAGAATTCAATCATTAGTTCAAGAGCAGAGAAGACATGATACCTTGTAATCATCAAACTGAATAACTCCATGATTAAAGTATGCTTTGCTACATGACTGGCTATATGCTCAATCTTTCAATTATGAAACAAAAGTTTTGAATTAGGAGATAAAATCAACAATCTGTGAAACTACACTGAACTTGCAGTTTTGTATATTATTGGAAATTGCTAGCTGGAGAATGTGAAACTAGAAGGAAATTTAAATATAGTTTAATTTGAGAGCAATGTCATGAATAGATGATATGAATAATGTAACCATGACCTCTGGAACATGTTTAAGATTATCTGTTATTGCTGCTTGATGTTCTACCTACAAAGAATGAGATGAAATGAGTCATCCTGTGTAACAAGTTATTATTTTGGTATTTGTTACTGTCAGCTATTGAATTTAACTTGAGCATTCTTGAAGCAAGACAGGTTTTAAAAGGTTGTGTTGATACTTTTCACATATTTCCTTTGTGAAGGCTGGCAGCACTCTGAGATGGAAGAGAAAGTACTGACTAGAGTACTGACAGTTTGTAGAATGGAGGTCTAAGAATCTGCTCAACTAAAGAACAAAATGAAACACAGGACAGCATTGTGGGCTGGACTCTACTGAGAGTAATCAATTAAAATCCAAGCATTTGAATCTGTCCTTAGCATTCACCTCTCTTTATTGGTGAAGAAAAGTTTCTATGTCTCTTCTGGATCAGGAATTTTCAAATTATATCTTGTCTCAGCTAATAGTAAAATCAGTCAGCATTCATATGTGCTGGCTGTTGGCAATTGATGGCTTTTAGCATAATTATTTAATAAATGAAAAAAAAAAGCAAAGAGAAAATGGCATCTAATTAAAAATTAGCCATAGATGTAAATTTTAAAGTGCTTTAGATTTTATTTCGTTTGGCCACTTCAACATCAGAAGCTTCTGTGCCCTAAATACTACCTTGAAGCACAGTTTTAATCTCTTTATGTAGGGCCTGTTTTTTGTTAAGCGCTGGGAATGCAAAAAGTAAAATGTCAGTGTATTCTCCAGGGACTAGAATTCTAACTATGACTGCAGAGTTAGTAAATTCAAAACTATCTGGTGGTGCTTCTTTGGGCATAGCTTGGTGGTATGAAACACTGAGATTAGGCCAGTATTTACTTTGAAAGCTTTATACCAGGCTGCAAGTCATCAGGTTTTAAAGCAGTATTCTAAAAATGGTCTTACCTCCAGCTACAAGTCCAGACTCTCCTAATTGAATAGCCACCCCAAAGCCCCCGAGTTTAACAGGTGCTGAGTTTTCTTTTGAGGCAAGAAGAACACAGTGGGGCTGAAAAGAAGAACAGATGAACAAAGACAAATAAAAAAATTAATTTGGAGTGAACAATTCTATTTACAGAAAACGGAACAACATGACAATATATGGCACCATTTTTAAAAACTTCTAAATTATTTTGGATGCTTGTTCCATTTCCTATTTTGGATTATTTACCTAAAGATTTACCAGTTATACTTAAAAATTTTCAAGAATCATTTGCTTCCAAGATTAGAATATGGTGCTAATAAAATTACTCAGCATGTATGTTCAAGAAATACAGACATACTCTTTTTTTGAATGTGTCAAACGATCACCCCTATTTTCTGACTTTAAATGTAGTATTTTCCTTCCTTTGAATAACAGCTTAGATTTGTTTAAGGAAACATAAGTTTTACACCCCCTGCCAAAATGTTTCTTAAAATTTCTGTCTTTATGTACAAAACTGCTATAACTTAGTCTGTAGAGGAAGCTAAAGAACTTTTTGTTGGTTCATCCTTCCTTGTCCCCTTCCTTTTCTTTATTCATTCCAAACCTGAGAGGAGTACTAAAAGGGTGGCTCAGATTTAATGACTCATAGCTTTTAAATGTTTCTTTATGTTCATCAACTTGAAAGACAGAGCTAGAATGAGAATGGCTAGGATAGTGGGCATGAAAGGAATCTGTGCAATAAAAGCAGGCTAAATCACCCAGAGAGGTGATTGGTGATATATGGAAGTGGGAGAGATCTTTACTCTTGACTGATGAGAACATTAGGATTCTTTCTGCCAAACAGATTTAAAGAGCTTTACAACAGTCTAGTACAAATAAAGGTGGACCCTCAAGTATAAATGTGTTTGAACAAACTGAGTAAGAAAGCAGCATCCCTAGTATGATTCTTATGTGGGACACAGCAAAAGGGTGAGCGAAGGAGAAGATGGGCATGTTTAAGCAGAAGGACATATAACTAAGACCCAGCCAGGGTTTTTGTGGAGCTGGGGTGGGCAGAGGGGTGTGGCAAGATGAGAGTGAGGTAGTTTGTTCTCCATCTGTGGTTCATTCCCCAAATGGCTAAAAGGGCTTGGGCTGGGTTGGGGAGGTCAAAGCCAGGAACTAGAGACTCAATATAGGTCTCCCATGTTGGTGGCAGGAATGCAATCAACCACCTCAGCCATCATCACTACTTCCCAGGGTCTGCATCCGCAGAAGTTTGAGTCAGGAGCCAGAGGTGGGTATCAAATCCAGGTAGTTAGATACCAGACAAAGACATCTTTGCAAAAAAAAAATATATATATATATGAATATATATATAAATATATATAAATATAAATATATATAAATATATATAAATGAATGAATTTGAAATGCTAAGTAACCCAAAGAGTGAGGAAGAGGCAGAGAAACAGAGATCTTCCATCTGCTGGTACACTCCAAAAAGGGCCATAAGAGCTGGGACTGGACCAGGCTAAAGCTAGGAGCCTGGAACTGCAATGGGGTCTCCCTCATGTGTAAGGTCCCAAATATTTGGGGCATCTTCTGCTGACTTTCCAGGTACGTTAGCAAAGAGCTGGACTGGAAGCAGAGCAATCAGGACTCTACTCAGCACTCCAGTGTGGGATGTCAGCCCAGCAGGACACAAACCCTTTAATTGCTAGGTCAAATGCCTGGTTCCTATGGACATGTTGTTATTATCTTCTTGCCAAAGAGAAGTAGAAGCTTCAACAGGCACCCCAAAGTACATCCTTTATAGTTTGTTGACTATATGCATGCTAAAATTAATGTTATACTGAAACCTATAAAATTTTCATCAAAGTGTGGAGTTGGCTATTCTCAAAAAATTATTACGTGAGAAGTTAAAATCGGAATTTAAGCTATTAAATAAGCAAGAAATCCATAAATACAAATGAATTGAATGTAAATCTGTGTAGTATTAAGTGTTAGATAAAACTACAGTGGTAAGCAGATGAGTCCTGGAGGGCTGGAGCTAGAGAGCTGCGATTTTAGTTGGTGGGGAAGTTAGAAAATGGGGAAATACCTGAACAGAAACAAGAATGAAGTGAAAGAGCAGGAAGTAAAATCCCAGGTTGGCAGGGCAGTTGATGCAAACACCCAGAAGCACAAAGAGGGCTGGTATGTCTGCAGAGTAGGAAGGAAGTTACTCTGTCTGGAACAGAATGAGCAAGGGACAGAGTGGTGGGAAATGTGACCGGAGAGCTGAACAAAGGCTGAACACCATGGCCAAAACTGTGCTTTGCGGTGTGAGATGAGAAACCACTAGAAAGTTTTGAGTAGGGACCACTATAATAAACTTTTGTTTTTGAAAGGATCAATACGGTTCCTCCATGAAAACTGTGGGAGCAAAAGAGTGGAAGCAAGGAGACAAGTTAGGAGGCACTGTTAGTTGTCTGGAGAGGGTGGTGAGCTGGACTGGAGTGAGACAATCAGAGGTGGTAAGAAGTGGCCAAATTCCATTTATGTTCTGAACATGAGTGTGGGAGAAAGAGTGCAGTCAAGTATTACAACAGGTTTCTATTCTAAGTGACTGAGTGAAAATGAAGATGCCGTTTACCAAAATGGGGGCTGCTGAGGGAGGAGTTGGTAAGGAGGATTAAGAATTTGATCTCATATATACCTAGTGTGAAATCTGACAAGATGGGTAGAAGGGAGGCTGGGATTAAATACATAAATCTAGAAATCAACAGCATATAGTTGATATCTGCAGATAATGTCATGAACAAAACTGTTTAGGGAATGATTACAGGTCAAGAGGTCAGAGGATTGAGGCCTGGTACATACCAGTATTTGGGCATAATGATGAGAGCAATCCAGTGAAGGGAAAAAAGCCAGAATGTCTAAACATGGTGGAGGAGGAAAACCAGAATTTAATGCCTTGAAGCCAAGTGAAGAAACATTTTCAAGAAGGGACAATTAATGGCGATCAGTGTTACTAAGGTCACTAAGGATGAACTGCGAATGGGTCACTAGTTTTGACAACTTGGAGGTCACTGGTGGGTAAGAGTGGTTTTGGTGGCATGATGGAGAGAAAAATTTCCATCGAACCAGGTTCAGCGGAAAATGGAAAGATGATGTGGAGATAGTCAATGCAGATACGTTTCAGAGTTTAATTGCATTAGTAATGCAGAAATTCAACGTAGATAGAAGAGAATGTGAAGCTTAGAGAATTTCTTTTTAAATTTTTTAACACTGAAAAGAGGATAAGCTAGATTAATAAACCCCCATCTACCCATCACCTGACAAGTTACAGTCATTCTGTTATTCTTTCTTCACTTATCCCTATTTATCATTTTTCTTTGCTGAAGTGTTTTATAACATCTTATTATTTTCCCTGTTAACAGTTTAGTAATTCTAACAGAAGGCTTAGAAATATCCATAATATCATTATCACATCTGATAAGAACAATGAACTTATTTTTGGGAAATACAGAAATAAATTGATAAATATAGGAAGAATAAGCAAGGATAAGCAAATGTACACAAATGTTCACCCATGAGGGAATCTGAGTGAGAGGAAGCTGGAGTTCTTTACCACGGTTGTAACATTTTTGTACATAAAATTATGTAAAAAAAAAAAAGTCCCATCCTATTTTAAAAGTTACCTAAAATAATTCTCTCTGTGGTTATGCTTTCACTTTGTCATATAGCGAGGAGGTTATTAGTATTATTTTTAATTTGAGAGACACAACAAGAATGTTTCCCATCAGTGGAATCATTCCCCAAATGCCTGTAACAAACCAGGGAGACTCAAGAAACTCAATCCCAGGATCCCATGCGGGTGGCAGTGACTCAATTACTTGAACCATCATCATGGCCTCCCAGGTGTGCACTAGTAAGAAACTGAATCAGGAGCCAGAACTGGCAACTGGATGCAGGTACTCCAATGTGGAACATGGGTGTCTTAACGAGCATATTAACTTTTAAGCCAAATATCTGCTTCAATCTGTTTCAATTAGACCTTGATTTTATTGTTTTAATTAAATAAAACGTGTATAAGTCTAAAGTAAAAAAACTATAAAATAGATACAATTAAGAAAGATCTGGCTTTTCTTTCTTTCCATCCTCATCTCTCTTTCTCCACTGGTAACTAGTTCTTTTTTAAATTTAATTTCTGTTTTATCTTTCATTAAGAAGCCATTTGAATAAGATTTATTTTTAAATAAGATACATACAAATATTTAAATGCTTCTGGTATTAATAGATAACTCCATAGAAACCTTGATGGAAGTTTTGTTTTTATGTTTTTTTAAAGATTTACTTCTTAAAAAATTTTTATTGGAAAGTCAGATATACAGAGAGGAGGAGAAACAGAGAGGAAGATCTTCCATCCGACGATTCACTCCCCAACTGGTCCCAAGCAGTGCTGAGCTGATCCAAAACCAGGAACCAGGAGCTTCTTCTGGGTGTCCCACACGGGTGCAGGGTCCCAAGGCTTTGGGCCATCCTCGACTGTCTTCCCCAGTCACAAGCAGGGAGCCTGATGGGAAGTGGGGCTGCAGGGGTTAACCGGCGCCCATATGGGATCTTGGCACATGCAAAGTGAGGACTTTAGCTGCTGGGCTACTGTGCATGGCCCTTGTTTTTATGTTTTAAAAACAGTAATTAGTGGACTGATGGGAATGGACTATAGAGAGGGCAATGACTGGAGGGAAGACAGGAAATGGGATGAAATAGCCAAAGAAGGTGGGGGGTGTCTCTAGGGACAGCAGGGAAGACAGATGCTGGGGTTCCTACAGAGGTAAGCAAATGAGGATGGAGAAAGATGAATTCTCTCCCTAGTATTCGTATAAGCTCAGTGAAATAAAAAAGCGATCATCAGGTCGAAGCGAGAAAGGAGAGAGTGTTGGTAGCAGTCTGAGAAGAGTGAACATGTGAAAAAAGTATTTTCAAAAATCACATAGTGAACTGACAAAGACAGTGGTTCTCAAACTCTAACAAGGGAATCACACAGACTGCTGGGTCTCTTCCCCAGTATTTCTGGCTCCTTAGGTCTGGGATAAGATCAGGAACATGCATTTCTA